CTTGGCATGAACAGACTAGACTTGGCATGACTAGACTTGGCATGAACAGACTTGACATGAACAGACTAGACTTGGCATGAACAGACTAGACTTGGCATGAACAGACTTGACATGGCATGACTAGACTTGGCATGACTAGACTTGGCATGAACAGACTTGACATGGCATGACTAGACTTGGCATGACTAGACTTGGCATGAACAACATGGAAAACATGAACATGAAACAAAACACCACATTACACTTAGTAGCAATAATACGAAATGGTGGTCAGTAAACTGTCCCGTCAGTGAGTCTGACCCATTTTGACAACCTATTCCATTAAGAATTTTGTTTCATGTGAGCACAGCACATCAGCTACACTACAATTTACTTGAGCTTTTCTTCTTGATGAGGATCATGTGATGATAGGTTGCCACAGTAACAAAGAATGACAGTAAACCTACTTAGAGAATGAAATATATCACGATGACCACATGTATCTCAATCTCACCAACCACTAAATGATTAGATCACCCTTCACACATAAATCAGAATCTGAGATGTCGCCACCAATATGCTGTATGATGAAGAAAACTTGCTCTTTTTATATTAATATTATTCACTATAGAAAAATTCGGTAAAACTGTTACTCTGCCTATTTAAGAAAAAGCATGTTGCATGTTTGCAGTGTCAATGCTATGCTAACAAACTCACAACTGTTAAAAATTCACCTAAGTTGGAGGGCAATGTCAGAGCTGAAGTCATAAAACAGCAAATGTATCACTTTTAGCAAACAAAGGCATAGGTGTCCGTCAATCTGAGCAGTGGGAACCCTTTGGAAAAGTAGTAAGGGAGAGTTTGGGAGCCTCATTCAAAGCCTTTGAGACATTGATCTATGGATAAAGTTGAGCAGAGGCGCTCTCGCTCAGTGTGAGCTGAATTTCTATGCAGGTGATGAATGAATGTGCTCTGCAGTGCGTGTCGTGGATGTATATCACTCTGCTCCCTACGTGATGGAGAGATAAGTTACTGCTAACCTGCAATGTCGTTCTACACCTTCCCGCAGAAAGCAGAGGGGGTCATGTGCTCGGTTCGCTTCAATTACTATACATTTGCTGAAAGTTATTTTAGTTTTGTAAAAGGTCAACCTTGCAAATACCTGCTCAGATCTTAGGTGGAACGAGGGAGAAGTCTTCCTTTAAAGTGGAGCTGAAAGCCTATGATAGCAGCGAGTGGTGGACATTAACTGCAGACGAAGCCTCAAGCAATGCTTCAGTGTACCAGTATTCAATATTACTAGGGAGTCTCAGCATGGACACTGAGGTTCATTTAAGGAGACTCTCCCATCTCAGTCAAAACATATTCATGAAGATGATGACAAATGTGTGCCATTGTGTCCAACCCTGACCCATCCGATGAGTTACCTGCTATTGAACACACCTCTGTCATTCAAGGGTCAGTAAGACACTGCTCTCTGAAAAGGAGCTGCTTTACAGCCTCTGAAATATTCACGAAAAGCAGCAGGAAGATGAATGGGCGCCCGTGTCCCCGCTCAGGGCCCTTGTTAAAAGACGGCGTTGATCGAGAGGTCAAAGCCGGAGAGAATTTTAAACATCCATTGGCCCAGGGCCCCCCGGGATCATTACAGCTCACTCCTGAATGGAAGGAGAGCCGAGCCAAGAGCAAGAGAAGCCTAGCTCTGTGATATACGAGCATAATCATTTCTCGCTCTCCTCCTTTTTTTTCTCTAGGCAGGGCTGGCCCACACTTCATCCTCTTGCATTTTGGTACAACCTATTCCACTGAAACCTCTGCAGCAGGCTCAAGCACTTCCTTTCCTCTCAGCGGCCTTTTTAAAGGGAAACTCACCCAGAAATTAGAATTCTGTCATTATTTTTTCACCCTCACCCTCATGTTTCCAAACCTCAAAGTGGTTATTTTTTTCCATGGAACACAAAATTAGAACATTTCGAAGAATTGTTATACAACTCTTGCCATACAACAATTAAATTCACCAAAAAATAAAATAGTTCTGTCATTATTTTATTACCCTTATGTTGATTCCAAACCTCAAAACGGTAATTTTTCAATGGAACACAAAGGGTAGAATTTTTTTAATAATTGTTATGCAGCTCTTACCATATAACAACAGTTCAATTCACCAAAAAATAAGTATATATTTTTTTAAAGTAAAATTTTAAAAAAGGCAGAATTTTAGCCATTATTCATGAAAATGTTAACCTTCAGAAAGGTCAGCTCTTGCCTATGTTCAAAATTAAAAAATTGCACTTCTTATTGGTTATTTCACATGCAAGATTCAAGATTCAATTTATATTATTGATATAATTTGTTTATTTTTCAATTTTGGTTACACAAAGTCATTATATGATTTCAGAAGACAAGTCAAATGGACTGTACTTTTACAGTGTTTTTATTTTATTTTATTTTATTTTATTTATTTTTGCCATTTTGAAGCTT